ACATGGTTCCTCCTCCACCTGGGAGAGCACCCACCCCCACCCTGGGACCTGTATTCTCTCGTGTTTCCCAGTGTGACAGAGGAAAAGGTAGCTCATGGCTGTTTTTTGGTTTTTTAAAAATACATCTTTATTGATTTAAGAGAGGGGAAGGGAGAGGAGAGAGAGAGATAGAAACTTCAGTGATGAGAGAGAGTCATTGGTCAGCTGCCTCCTGCATGCCCCCGATTGGGGATCGAGCCTGCAACCCGGGCATGTGCCCTGACCGGGAATCCAACCGAGATCTCCTGGATCCTAGGCCCACGCTCAACCGCTGAGCCACACCCGGCCGGGCTCATGTTGGTTTTAATTGCATTTCATTGATGACGACTATGAATGGTCATTTTCTACATACGTGCTGGTCATTTGCTTTCCTTTGTGAAGGCCTGTGTGTTTCTTACCAGTTCTATGCAAAACTTACCTTCTCTCTATTGATTTGCAAGCACACTCTTTATACAAACAGCTCTTTATCTTTCTTTATGAGTCAAATATTTTCCCAGTCAGGTTATTTTTGTTTATGGCTTTTGCCCTAAACAAACAGCCCCTCTACTGCTCCCAGGCTGCGGGGCCCTCTGCTCCCTCCTGGCTGTGCCCCAAAAGCCTTCAAATGTGGCTTAGAAAATGCTGCCCACTGTAGGAAGCTGGGGGCGTGCTTGCGCGCTTATGTGTGTGTGTGTGTGTGTGTAAGAGTCTTGCACACAGTACCCGGGTTTGGTACCAGGCCCAAATTCACACCAGTGTGGAACAGTGAATTCATGGGCTCCCCAGCAGAGACAAACACAAACCACCCACAGGGACTCCCAGGGAGACGTCTCTCCTTAAGAGCGACCCACAATAGAAACACAGTCATGGGAGAAACACCATCAGGAGAGTCCTCGGGGAAAGCAGGTGAGAGGATGATCTGAAGACTTTCAGTGTTTACGGTATTTGGAGGGGTAAAGCACTCTCTCCCGTAGTCTCCAACATGCGAGAAGGACAGGCAGAGTGGGGAAGGAATCCACTTGAAATACTAAAGTAAAAACATGATTGTGGAAATCCAGAACTGGACGGGTTAAACAGTAGTTTAGACACAGCTGAAGAGAGTGTTAGCAGCTGGAAGATGCGAGGAAATGCCCTGTACTGTGCACAGTGAGGGATGGAGACAAAAAACCCCAAATGCTAAGAGATGAAGATCCAGCTTACATGTAAAGGAGTGAGGAGAGAACAGAGAACATGGGAAGAAGACAGCATTTGCAGAAAAATGCTGTGGAGCTGATGACTGTGTGTTGAAGGAGCACATTCAGCCCCAGAGTAAGAAGTAACTTCACCACCACACACGTGGGAGGAGACAGCATCTCATTGACAGACATGGGCTGCCCGAGAGGCGGGGTCCCCTGCAGTGCCTCCTGGAAAGGTGGCTGTTTCCTGAACAGACAGCCTCACATGATGAGAAAGGGAAGCTCTGGAAAGCAGGCCCCCAGGTCGCCTCCAACATCCGTGCTCTTCTGGTCGTCCCAGCCCTGCGAAAGGGCGCCACTTCCCGACACAGGTGAACTGTGTTCCTATAGATGCGGTGCACGAGCGCTCGTTCTAACAGCGTACTCAATTTGATTCTTAAAAACAGCTCCTCCCCGGCAGAGGAGAACGCGCGGTTGAGAGCCAGTGGGGGAGTTCATGGGGAGAGGTTTGCCGCATGAGCGCAAGTGTGGTTCGTCCTTAGGGTTTCTAAGAGTGCATCTGGCTCTCCACTCCCACAGGGCGCTTTGTCACAGACAACTGAGGTGACGAAACTCTCACTGTTTTTTAGTCCTTTTGCCATTTTTCAGATTGAACTGGGTCTAGGTGGCCCATCCCTCCGCAGAGTTCCCAGAGGCCCAGGGTGGTCACTCCTGTGTCCAGAGACGGCCCTGGGAGACTAGGGGCTGGGACTGTCCCTTCTGTGCTGAGGTGAGTCCCTCCCATGGCTGATGGCAGAGTGGGCAGGGATAGTCTGGTGAATGAATCTTTTTTTCTCTTGGCTTTTGAAGAGGGAGGTGATGCCATTGATGTGTTGAGAATGTCAGTCCTGGTGTAGATTGGACATTTTAGAGCTTATGGGAAATTCTGTCCCCAGGGTGCCCAGAGCTGCTCTGGGGTGTGTTCCTGTTCCCTCTCGGGCAGTTGTGCCCGTGCTGTGACTGCTGGGCCTTTCTCTGCTGTCGGACAGGACACACAGCGTGGCTGCAGGTTGTCTCCACTTCCTGCCACTCACAGGAATCCCGGGATTGGTTGTCCTGGTGAGGTGAGCAGCTCCAGGTTCACCCAGGGCACCTTATTTTGCTATAATGTCCCCTGCGGTTCTGAGGAGCGTGAGCCCCTGCCTGACAGATGGCAGATGCAGGAAGCTCCCGTCCAGGTTCTGAAGCCCAGAGTGGGCAGATCAGGCTGTGTGTTTGTTCAGTGTTTTCAGAAGTATTTTTGTGAAGAGATTTCCCAGGATGTGGGCCTCACAGCTGGGAAAACAGTGGCTGCTTTGAAGCGGTTTCCCAGGCACAGAGCTTGCCTCCTGCTGTTCGCAGCATAAACAGTGTCTGGTTTAGCTCGCCGTCCTTGTGGGCATTTTCAGGGGCGCAGCGGCCTTTCTTGGCTGTGTGGTCCCCTCAGGACACTTACACGTGACACCTTTAAAGGCTAAAAATAATCGTGGAGGTTCATCTGGTCAGTGCTGCTGTCTCCACTTCGCATGGTGGCCACCTGAAGCCAAGCTCGTAGACCCCGCCCCCCCACCCCGTCCTGAAGTGCGAGTGCGCCCTGACAGGGCCCCACCTAGTGCTGCTCAGGGCAGGGGCTGCACTGTGACCAGGAACGGGGCAGGTGCCCATCTGGCACAGGCTCCTGTATGAGACCCACTCTCTAGGTGTTGGGAACGAACCAAAAAGTGGGACCTGAGACTGAGTGGAGGCCAGCCAGCCGCTGTAACACAGACGGGTCCCAAAGTCCAGGCCTTAGGTAGGGTGGGCATGATGCCACAGTCCAGGGGTGTGGTAGGGCTGGGACCCAGCGGCATGGTCCAAGGGAGCCCTCCCTCATATGTTTTTGTTCTGGGGCAGGGGACAGACCAAGTGAAGGCCGAGGGCTGCACCTTGAAGGAGGCGACCTGGAAAATGCAGGCACACCCTCCGCATGCCTGCTGGCCTCACCGAGTGTCCTAGCGGGCAACAGGCACGGCCAGTAGCCAAGGGCCCAGTCATATCCAGGGGCTCTGTTCCCGGGAGCAGGAGAGGGACAGGACCCTGGAGAGAGCAGGTCTTTGTCGTGGGACTTGATTGCCTCACTTTCACCTTCAGAGAAGGACTGGAGCCTGGTAGACGCTCAAACAGGGCAGCTGGAGTGAGGCTGGTGATCTCGGGTGCCCTGCTCCCCTCTGAGACTGTCAGTGGGGATAACTCGTGCGTATCATGCAGGGTGGCATGGGACCCAGGAGGTGATGCGATATAGTAGCGAGTGGTTAGAGCAAGCACTTGGGAGGGTAGGATTACTGCTCGAGTGGGTGGCACGGAAACCGGGTGGAGTGGATGGCTGCATTTGTTGAGAGCTAGCGATTTTATGAATTAGTTTCTGTTTACATTGCTGCTGTAAAAACCGGTGGGTTCTTAGTAGCATTCTGCCCATGGAGTCAGATCCACGGGAGCCTCTGGCCCCTCTACTTAGTTCTGTGACTGAGGCAGGGGGCCCTTGGTGCTCCTGCGTCACAGCTGTGAAGTGGCGGTGACCACCAACCATCTCAACCACAGGAAGCGTGCGTGAGATGACACAGAGACGCGCGCTGGGCATGGGGCGGGCACTTGGGGGGTGTCAGTCAAGTAATAAATGAAAACAGGCCTGCGCTCAGGAAGTTTGGGGTTTCATGCAAGGAGTCAAGCTCCGTCACAATTTAATCAGCCAACGTGTGACATGGCCAGCTGAAAGGACCCGGGAAGGTGGTTTGTGTGGTGACGCTCAGCCACAGGTGTCCCCGATGCTCATGTGTTTCTGTGCTAAGTGTCATTCCGATGAATATTGCTCTCACCCACTAGCTAGGCTCCCACAGATGTAATGAGTTCTGCCTTACCTGCGCCGGCACAGGGTAGTTGTCACAGGTGCAGCTTCTGCCTCCAAACTTTGACCTGAGAGGAATCTCAGCCCAGAGGATGGCGCTTGCATCCTGGCTCCGCTTGGACACTTAAATTTGCCGCACAGGCCAACATGTCCTCATCGCCCTGATGGCTCATTGGCAGACAATTGTGAGTACAGGGTCGCACTGTGGCCTCTGGTGGCCGACTGTTCTGTGTGAGGTGACTGCACCTTCTGAGGACCAGAGACGGGGCTCTCAGGTGTTTCACTTTGGCAGCCACTCGAGTGCCCCTCTTTTACATATACAGGTGTCTGCTGCCTCCAGACAGCAGTCTGGCTGCTCCCACATTCAGGCTTGGGGACCCCAGGTCAGCCAGGACGTGGGTGACATGCAGGGAGTGTGAGCGTGTGTGAGCATGTGTAAATGCGTGTATGAGTGTATGTGTGGATGTGCATGCATGAGTGTGCCCATGTGTGAATGTGGGTGTGAATGTGCATGCACATGTGTGTTCCCGTCCCCCCTCCTGCAGCAGCTTGGCACTTGGCGGCATCCCCTGGCTCGAGTCTGCGTGCAGCACCATCTTGCTGAGCCTGGCTCCTGGACCGAGAGCCCTGCCAGCACTGGTGTCCTCACTGGAAGTCCGGCCCCAGCCAGGCTTAGAAGCAGGTATTGCCAAGCAGCTCTGTGTCCCCAGGTCTCCTGGTGCCAGACACAGGAGCCACCGGGTGGGCTCATCCTTCTCTCCCTTGGGACATGGATGCCGCCGGCTGTCTGAAGAGGGCGTAGGAATTTGTGACCAGGGTGGACGTTGGAGGAGTTCCCGCGCATCCAAATTGAGTTTCTCTATAGTATCTATCATGTGGGAGAGGAACTTGGGTGTGCCTTTCCTTTCTTCCCGCGGGCACTGCTACGCTTGGAGGCTCCGGCTGCGCGCTCAGCTGTCACTGTCTGTGCTCACTGCCTCGGTGACCGTGCTGAGGAGCAGAATCAGCTGGGCACCGGCCATTGTTTCTTGGAAGGAACTGCTCGGTGAGACCAGTGTCCTCCTTGAGACAGTGCCCTGCTGGGGTTTTCTTCATTCCTGGACGATTTATACTTTTGAATCAACAAAGAAAAATGCCATATTGTTGGCTAAGGATGGAATGTTCTGAGCAGGGCTGTATCTCAGGAGTGATGTCCAGTCTCTTATTTGTTGTGGCAGTGACTTCGCTGGAAGAGCCTGAGGCTCCTGGCAGACTGGGCGACTCACCTGTATTCCAGGTGATGGCTCAGAGTGAGACGGGCTTGAGAGCCAGCGGCCAGGGTTCATGTAGCAGATTTCCTGCAGAGCCCTGTTGTAGGGGCCACGGGAAGTAAAGACAGGCTCAGACTTGGGATAGCCCCTTCTTTCCAGGAGACGACACCCAATGGAAATGGCCCAGGAGGCAGAGGGGGACGAGCACATTTACAGCTGTGCAGGCGGGGAGGGGAGGAGGGAGGGATCAGGATCTCTGCGTGGAAGGGTCCTTCCACGTTGGTGGGGTTCATGGTCAACCTTCTCGTAATAGCTGGACCCCCGCCAGGAATCCCCACAGCTGACTTCATGCGATAAGCTTTTGATTGAGTCCACCCAGGAGAAACCCTTAGAATTGCAGTCGGGCCTGGTGAACTTTTATGTTCTGTTGGCTTTTAAAACCGTTGTTCCAGGCGAGATCCGCACCCACTGGACAATGGGAGAAATCAGATCAACTTGGAGAGGTGACGTTTTTCTGGGTGTGTGACAGCTAAGGCCACAGGCGTGAGCACACACCCGCTTGCCTGCCCTCGTGGTTTGTGTGGGGTCCCAGGGACCATGGTGGGAGGCCCCAAGCCTTTTATGGAGCTCAAGTTCCTGGAAGTTGGTGCTGTCTCAGTGCATCTGGGACAGCATTGTGGAGGCCATGCTGGCTATTGGGCCCGTCCTGCTGTGGTGGACAGGCCTCCCCACTTCTCTGGGACCCCCGTCCTGCTCTGGTGGACAGGCCCCCCCCACTTCTCTCGGACCCCCATCTGTGGGCTCGCTGACTGCCTGGAGGCTGCAGCTGTCGTTGCAGGGCTGCAGGCTGTGCTTATGCTGACAGCCAGAACCTCCTAGAAAAGTGAGGACATGTTGGACATGCTTGCCCAGAGATGGTGCAGCAGGTGTCAGACACCTAGAGATGCTGGCTGTGTCCAGTGGCTGCACTTAGATGTTGGCCTCTGAGAGTTCTCACCTGAGTGCACCAGCCTCGTGGTGCGGGGGGACATTTTCCCTTGTGTGGCTCTGAGAGCCCCCACCTGCCCCATGAGAGAACTACTTAGGGAACCTGGAAGACAGCACACGGGTTTTATTGACAAAGCTGACAGTGCTGCTAGCCACTGTTACTGTTTACAGTTTAGCAAGACTACATGGTGTCCTCACAGTCCCCACTGTCACCATGCGAGCTGGAGTGTCTCGCTGCTGCCCCGGTGCCGCCCTCAGTGTCACTTGCTCTAATGTGTTGCAGAGATGCTATAAACAAGCATAGTGTCCAGATGGGCATCTCGGAGAGCAGTGGTGGCCTGCCCTGGAGAGGAGCCTTTCCAGCCGAGGCGGCCTGAGCACACAGTGTTACTCACCAGGTGTGGGCAAGGACGTTCGGTGTGCACAGCAGGTTACCAGCCAGTGTCCAGCTCAGATCAGCCTCAGTCTTCATTTTTCCCCAAGGGGCAGATTCATGGAGAGCCACCTTGAAACTAAGGTATTCCACCGACAGCGCCCCTCCTTTTGGCTTGCGATGGCCAGCCTCAGAACTGTCTGCTGCTGCGAGATGCAGTCTGTGCAGAGAGGACGTGAGGGCCACGCTGGTCGCCCGGCCACTTCACCATCCCTGACTGCAGTTGGGAGCACAGGTGGTGGGCACAGCTCTGTGCGGGAGCAGTCAGCATTGGGCGACTAGTGCGGGTGCTGAGATCCCGAGGGTGGGGCTTCCAGGCCGGGAGAGGCCTTGGCATGCTCTTGCCCCGTCTGTGCCTCGCCCCGGTGCGGTGTTGAGTGTGCTGAGTGGCTCCTGTCTACGCCACACTGCTGAGCCTCCCCTCAGGCTGCTCGGCACTGTCTGGAACCATGGCCTTCAGGGCCGTGTGACACAGGCGGTTCAGGGTCGACACACTTGTCTTCTGCTCGAGGTACAGCCTCAGCTTGTCTCTGAAGGTCTCCCCGAGGAAGCTGTAAAGGAGGGGGTTCAGGCAGCTGTTGGAGAACGCTGCGAGGTTGACGATGTGGCCGGTTAGGGGGTAGGCGTGGCGGAAGGACTGCTGGCAGGGTGCGGCGCCCGGCTGCGTGGGCTGCAGGAGGTGCACGCTGATGAACACGTTCTCGGGCAGCCAGCAGAGGAAGAAGACCAGCACCACCGCGAAGATCATCCGGAGGGCCTTCTGCCGCCGGGGGCGCAGGCCCCGGTGCCCGTGAGCCTTGACCAGGGCCCGGGCGATGAGCGAGTAGCAGAGCCCGATGATGACGAAGGGGATGATGAAGCCCAGGGTGACCTCCAGCCACTGGATCTCCCTGACGTCCGCGAAGCAGAAGCAGAGGTCCCCGGTGTGCTGCAGGTGCACGGCCGTGAAGGGCACCAGCGTGGCGGAGACGGAGGCCATCCAGATGAGGCCGCAGCTGAGCCGCGCGTGGGGCTTGGTGCGGAACAGGCTGCAGCGCATGGCCTGGGCCAGGGCGAGGTAGCGGTCGAAGCTCATCCACGTGAGGAAGAAGACGCTGCTGTACATGTTGATCTGCAGGAAGAGGGACATGAAGGTGCACAGCACGGCGATGTCGTAGTACTGCTCGTCCAGGTTGAACACCTCGATCAGCGAGTCGGCCACCAGGATGAGGTCTGCCGCCGCCAGGTTGATGAAGTACAGGTCGGGGACGGTCATCTTCTCCCGGGAGCTGACGTTTACCACCAGGATCAGGAGGTTCCCCACAAAGCCGATGGGGAAGAGGAAGATGGTGTAGAGGCAGGAGAGGAAGAGCCCGATGGCATACTGCTGGTGCGCCGAGAGCGTGCCCGTCTGGTTGGCCAGCACCCTGCCGGCAAGTGCGTGGGACAGGTTGAGCGCTGCGGGGGTGCTGTTGTAGGATCCGGGGTCGGTCTCCATGCCAGAGATGGGCGCTCGAGGAGCCTTACCCACACCTCCACTGTGTGCACCCTTCAGGATCTGCCGCGAGGCTCACAGAAACCCGTCTCAAACAGCAAGTCTGTCTTTACAAAGAACGGCTCTGCCCTTGGAAGAGAGCCAGACATTTGTCAAATCTGAACCTGGCAGCAAGAGTACTGGCGGCCAGTGGGATCTGCTCTGCACGGAGGAGAGTGAGGGTGCGGTGAGCTCCTCTGCGCTGCCACGCTCCGTGGGCACCTGGAGAAGCAGAGGAGAGAGTGAGTCCTTCTTTCCCTTCCATTCTGCAGGGCTGGGAGCTTCGGGTCAGTGCCTGGGTGGGTGGGGAAGGGCCTCACTGGAGGTGGTATCATCGTGGAGGGACAGTGGCCACTTGAGTGGAGGCAGAAGATTAAACGTTTTCTCCCAGGGCTCCCAGAGCCGCAGACGGACAGTGAGTCATCCTCACCCCTAGATGCCTCGTTAACGAATAGCTGGCTTGTGAAATAATGAGATTGGGTTTGGAAATCTTAGGAAAACTACTGTCTGTCGGGAGAGGAGATAAAATTGATTTCCACAGCTGCTGGAAAGAGGAGCCGGCAGGATGGGAAAATCCCAGCTTTTCTGAAGACGCCTTGTGGGGACCGGAGCAGCCTCTTCTCTGACAATAAAGTGATCAAGGATACTAAGTTTAGATGCTGAAAATGAGGCTTTTTATCAAATAAGACAGAATAAAGAGTAAACATGGTAATTGTTTCAGGAAGTACTATCGACCTTTTATTCAGCGTTTGACCATTACTGTCCCACCTAATGTATTTTTGTAATGTTGTTTGTAACCTAGCAACTCAGTAACCTAGGGAGTGGGCAAGGACATCAACCTTTCAGCTTCTGCAGGGCTGGCACCTGTGCTGCTGGGAGGCGTGGGGCGGCTCTGTGGACCTGGGGCCTCGGGTCTGCACTGCACCCAGCTCCCTGAAATCCTCTGTGGGTCAGCCCGGGACAGGGGCCGTGTCCGTGGTACTAAGTCGTCTCAGTGGGGAGGGGCTGCCCTTGGCAGTGAGCACGGCCTACAGCCCACAGGATTGCCCCACCCCAGCGAGGGACCCTCCCAATGGCAGTGGCATGGGCTTGAGAAACCCAGAGGAATTTGGCTAGTCACAGTAGAGTGGACGTGAACTGTCTTCTCATTCGAGTGTTCATTTTACCCACGAGGCCCTTAAGAGCCGTTTTTCTAAAGTGTCGCCAAACCTGAGTAGACATTCACAGACCTACGGCTTGAAAATACTGCTTTAGGACAAGAGAGATTAACCACGCTGTGGTGTCAGGAGCCAGTTTAACGTGTTAGGTACCCTGTGTTTGGCTGGGCTCCTGCGTCTGAGTACAGTCATTAGTTTAGACCTCTATTCCACTTCTTTGTAAAAGTGGCTCAGATGTTTGCTGCTCTTTGTGTATGGAAGTTCTGGGGAGCTTTAGACAGAACTTGGGGGGCTTACAGGTGATTGGGCCCACGGTCCACCTGCTCTCTCCCTGTACTAGTCAAATGGGCTTCAGGGAAAACTTTCAACTGATTCCTTCTATCCCGTGTAAGTGGCGTCTCTGGTCCTTGACAGATGCTGCTAGTGGCTTAACGAGAAGGCGCAGGGACTGAGGTGTAAACAGCTGTGGACAGTGCCCTCATGGAGACGACAGGGAGTGTGTAAGCATTAAGGGCGTTAGACGGCCTGATGGCATTTGATTCTGATATCCACTATTTGTCCGGATCTAGAGAAATAAGCCACATTTTTGTCAGGTCCACTAGGTGTGCGTTTTTGTAAAGGAAGATTAATCACCTGTACTTCCTGGGCCAGGCAGGTGCTTTTGTTGAAAGAGTATGGCGGCTGTGCTGTGGCGGGGGTGGCTGCCTGTCCCTCAGGCACCGGGTCCTTGCCGGAACACAGGGTGCAGTCTGCAGATAGCCTGTGTGCTGAGCCTCCCTCTCCAGTCAGGCCGACGTCGTGAGAGCAGAGCTGGGGTTTTCTCCAGGGGAGCACGGCTCTACCTGGAGGTCAGGAGCCTCGTGCCCATGTCCCCAGTTAGTGCCTAGTCTAACCACATCTGCGTCCAGCTGCTACCCACAGTGGGGGACCCACAACAGACTTACCTGTGCCAGAGCTAGCACCCTGGCCTGGGTCGTGTCTGAGCAGAGCCTCCTGTCCTCCGTGGGCTCCTTGGCTGGCCTCGGGACTGTGCTCATGGTGGGCTGGCCACCCAAGTGGAAGAATGCTGGGGCCCTCCTGGGAGCAGAGACCTGCCTGTCATTGCCACTGATTCCGAGGCAGGTCTCCCGCAGCACAGGGAGCAGCCTTATATATGCAGCCTTCCCAGGGCCGCCCATTCTGCTCTGGATGCTGGACAGCCTCCCAAGAAGGCCAGCGTTAACCCTTTTTTTGCTGGCTTTTTCTTCCCACACGGTGGCAGTGAGCTCAGTCCCACTAAACATTTTCATGGAAGTTCCCAGTTTAACTGCTTCCTTCACCCGCTGATACAGGTGTGTGTGTTTTTAAGTTTGAGGGGATTATAAATAGGTTTTGTTTGTCCTTTAGGTAATAACCCACCATCACTTCTTGAAACTTAAATATTCTTGCTTGTTTTAGCAACTGACTGGCCTTAAAACTAAACAGTGAATTTTTAGTTTGGAGAATAACATGTGGATGATACACAGAGACCCTGACTGAGGAGTTCCGTAGATATGCGCAGGGAGAAACTTAAACCGAAGAGGTAGCAGGTATCTTGGCAAATAAATGAGGAATTGGAGTCGTTTGCTCTTAATTAGCCACATCTCAGTTCCCCTTCCCTTTGCTCCTGACGCCACCTGTGTGCACCTGTCTTGCAGGTGTTGGTGACAGACCTAAGAGGCCTCCTCCTGCCACGGGCACCGCCCTGTCGCCTGTTGCCCAGTGCTGGCCTATGTGGTCAGGACAAACTTAGTTTGGTTCCCAGCACCCACCTGCTAGTGGTCAGCATTGTACCATGGTCCTGGAGAAGGGCTGGCAGAGCTGCCAGAAGGGCCAATATCCCCAGATGTGTGTGGTTCAGGGCTGCAGGACCCATAGGGCCCGCTTGTGCAGGCTGCTTGCACCAAGTTAGGCGGTTTCGTAAACATTTCATTAAATGGATCTCATCCTTCCTTTCCGGCGTCTTTTCTTACTTTTTTAGTTTGTTGAATCTGGAGGAGGCTGAACTCTGAGTGATCTTTTGTATTACTGACCATGAATAAATCAAGTTGCTGCAGCGCCAGCGCCTGGAGCCTGTGTGCTTCCCAGGGACACAGGCTTGAAGCCAGGGCTACTTGGGCCTGGGCCTGACAGGCAGGGGCACCTCGGTCCCACAGCCCAGGGGCCAGAATGAGGCTGCATGCTTCTTGTTCTGTGTATCAATTGCAGATGAGCTGGGAGGCATTCTATACAGTAGTAACTCACATCTTTCAAAGATGTGTTGGGAAATACACATTTTTCAACAGAGAATTCTATATAAACTTTTTATGGAAAAGCACTAACATCCCAGGTCCTTCCAACTTTGGAAGCCCAGCCATGACCCTGGTGGGTTATAGCTTCCTAAACATCGAGGGCCGTGGACGTGCATGGAGTGATCCTACTGTAGGCATCTGGCCAGCAGCAAACCACTGACACGCCCAAGCCACCATTTTGAAAGAAGCCCCGAGAAAGTCCAGTTCCTCTGCAGCTAAACAAATAAGTAAAATGAAGCCAGACCTTGAAATAGCCAAACATCCACTTAAAAATAGCTGCTTGCCATTCGTGCACCCTGGCCTGTCCCCCACTGCTGCCCCAGCGGCAGCTCCAGGCCACTGCACCTTTGCATTTGCCACTGGGTTCACTTTGGGGGGATGGTCTTGTGGCTGGCTCACCAGCTCTGTGCTTGAGGCTTAGAATCGGCTGAGCTGGGGCTGCCACGTCTTGGGCCACCATCTCGTTGGAGCACTGGGGACTGAGTGACTGTCAGCCCTCACAGAGCTGCTAGTGGGAGGGACGGGCCTGGTTTCGGGGGTTTCAGTCCCTTGGACCCGGTTAAGTCGGCGCGAGTGCACATGATGGGTGGCACACACCAGGCTCTGCTCTGGGGAGCGACCGTCCAGTTCCCTGGGGGTTTATGGGTGAGATGTTCTGGAATGTCAGGCTGAAGACCCAGGGTCCTTGGCCCGGCCCCACCTTATGATCCTCAAGCTGTACCTCAGGGAGAGGCCCCCCCAGTTGGTTATGGTTTGTCTGCTGTTAAAAATTGGGTAAAACACAGGAGACGATTGTCCTCAGATGTTGGGACGATGGGCAGTCAGGATTTGTCTTTTTAAAGTTAAGGTTTCTGGTCGGTGCCCTTCGGGCCTGAAGAGCCCCCCATGCTATAAAGCCCGCCCTGAGTGTGCTCTGAGTTCTCTGCGGCTCCAAAGCTTTCTCCTCGCTCTGCCCTTGACAAGCTCCTGTCCTCGGTGTGTCCAGTCTGACGCAAGGTGACGGGAACTGGACCAGAGTCATGCCATGCGTTAGGCAGCAGCCCCAGGCCTGGGGCTGGGGTCTGGAAGCCTGGACCTAGTAGCCTTTGGCTTCCGGCCTCCCCGACCTGTCTGTCCACTCCAGGCAGCAGGGCCTCCCCTTGTTTCACATGCAGGGCTCAGTTTAAAGGAAGGACCCCACCGCCAAAGGGCCAACGTCAGAGCCATCCATTCATTCTCATGGTTGGATCTAAAGTTCTCCTTTAGCTGAAATCACTGGAAGCTCCGGGTCAGATCCAGGCTCGCTGTGCTCTCCTGCTGCTTAACCTGGAGTCAGCCGTTCACAGCAGCCCTGGCACGGAACTGGCCACAATCCTTTGATTCTGAAACCAACCAGACCTGGGCATGTCCTGTTGTGTTTTTATGAGTTAATTCAGGCCCTTCCACTTCTGGCCACGAGTCACGGGAGGGACCCTGCGCTCCTGCTGTAAACTGTTAAAAATCGGGTAAAACATAGGAGACAACTGTTCTCAGACATTGGGACTGTGGGCAGTCAGGAGCCCCCACCCCCCCGGTCTCGTCCCAGCAGCCCAGCCTGGCCGCCCCCTCAAGGGATAGCACTGGAGAGGAGGGAGCGACCTTGAGAAGGAGCTCCCGAGGGTGGTAGCAGCCTTGGGGGCTTGGGCTGAGTCTGTGCCTGCAAAGCATGAAGATGCTCTGACTGAGCCTGGAATACGGCCTGCTAGAAACAGGACAACCCTGAGCTGCGGGACGCTGGCCCTCATCCCAGCACCAGCTACCCTGCAGGGCACCTCTAGACCCCAGAACAGGGAAGCCTGGTGACCAGAGTGTAACAACAGCTCTCAAAAGCACCATTCTGGGCTGCCTGCCCAGGCAAGCATTAGGGCCCACAGAGGAAGACTGTGAGATTCACACACCCAGCAGACTCTGTGTCCAGCATCTAATGAAACACAACTGTTTCATGAGGAGAAGTGGCTTGTGTTCCCTGACTGGCCTTCCTGGGGGGCCATTCCTGGTGGGGCCCTGTCCACTTCCTGCCAGACCCTCCTGCTTTGTCCAAACACACCCTGCTTCTTGCACGGGTGTGCTGGGAGCGGACACCGTCATGCGTGCCTTAGGGCGAGAGCTCTGTGAGCAGATGGAGAAACACGGGGGAGCTTTGGAAGTATCTAGTGCTTTAATGTGTGTACAGAAGCTGCTGAAATGACTGAGACCCAGTCTCCCTAGGAGGAGCAAAATACACAACCCAGACTGTGGAGTCCTATCCAGCGCTAAAGAGACACGAGCTGTCATCCGTGAAAAGACGTGGGGGGACCTCAGATGTATGTGATGGGAAAGAAGCCGGTTTGAGAAGCTACAGGCTGTGTGATCCCAACTGTATGATG